AGGTATTGTCCACAATTTAATTTACATCATCTTATTTTTCAACCTGTCGTGCCGCCGTGTGTTCATCTGCCTCCTGCCGGTTAATATGACTGCAGGTGGGTGGGGGTGGGGGTTGGGGATCTTTGTGTCCAGTTCGGGCTTTGTAGGTGCTTCAACTTCTTTGTCACCGGTGAAGTTGGGGTAGTGGTAGCCATGGAAATAACTTCTCCATGGCTTTCTACATGTCAATGGGCTTTCTTGGAGGGGCTTCGACAAGTTGGAGGATGGTGTCGGTTGCCGGTCATTATGTATGCCATTGTTAGCGTTCGCCCATGGCTGCCGTGTCCTATGGAGGGGGCAGCGTGCAACGTGCTTTTGCTCTCCGAATCAGCATTTGTTCAATGAAGCTTAACCAAATACAACTCCTTTGGGAACTTGTGAGGTTTGTGACTCCTCTGTCTAGCTGAAGTTAGGATTATTGCTTGGTCCTCGTCGGGGCTACCTTCTCCGGGATGCTAATCTTTGTTGCGTGATCGCCGCTGTCTTCTGGTCTATAATGACGACTTTTCTGATACCCCATCCTTTCCGGTTTATAGGGCTTATTTTAAAATACTCCCTCCGTTTTTATTTACTCCGTATATTAGCTTTGGTCAAAGTCAGGCTTTGTAAACTTTGACAAAGTTTATAGACAAAAATATTAACATATACAATAACAAATCAACACCATTAAATTCCTTATTGAATGTACTTTCGCATCATATAGATTTGTTATGGTAAATATGTGTATTCTTTTCTATAATCTTGGTCAAACTTTATGAAGTTTGACTTTAGTCAACTCTAATATGCGGAGTAAATAAAAACAGAGGGAGTATTAGTTTTTCCATTTTATAAGGCTCAATTTTATTGTTTCCCATCACATGTTCAGATTCCAAGGTAAATTAAATCATTGCATGCAAGTATTAAGAGAAAATTGATCAATACATGTAATCTATGCATGCATGCATTGCACTTAATGCATTGATAAACATATTTTTTTGAAAAAAACAAGAGCATTAGTTGGGTGCTTTTACAAACTATAAAAAATATTCCACCACTCATCATCTATCTTGGTTGATGAGATTTTTAAATTGAGCCTTATAAACCGAAAAGGAGGGAGTAGTTGCTTATATGATCTCCTGGGTTTCAACAAGGTTTTCTCGGGTGAGATAGAGGCATAAAGGCGGCTACAATCTCTACTCACGACACGCCACCAGAGAATGCAGAAGGCGGCAACAAGTATTGCATCGTAAATTCATGATAGTGGGAAGGAACAGCCGGTTACGAACTCTCCGACGACAACGACACCACAACCTCGAGGAGACGAGCCGCGATCGCAATCAGCACCGCATGTGCATGCATGCAAACGCATTCTGCATGATCGCATCTCTAGGTGACGACGGAGGCCGCTAGGCGTGGCCTCTGCCCTGGACGCCTCTCCGCGGTCGCTCTCCGGCCCGCGCGGCCGGCGACGGATGCCATAACTCTCCATGCACGCACCGCCCCGCCAGCTGCATGGGCCTTCAATTCTGGCAACGACGCGGAGCCGCACGGTTGCCCCCCGGAGCCCGCCAACGACCAGAAGAGCTAAGCCGACGAGGCTCGAACAAGCTTTACTGGCCGCGATCGACGTACGTATCTCGATCCGGCCACCCCATAACGGGGACCTCGCGCACGTATTTCCGGGGAGAATGAAAGGGTCCGGGACCTCGCCCATGCACGGCACACGGTTGGCGCTGCAGTACGGCCGGTCGACGACCGGCCGGCCGGGCATGAGAGGCAGAGACTGGTTGGTTCCGTATCGCAATCGCGGGCTTATTGTGCAGTTAGGATCGTGTCTCGTCTTGATCGGAGTCGTCGTAGTCGTGTGCGTGCCCACGGCCGGTTTGCGTGCTACGTTGCTTACGTACTGGCCCAAGGAAGCTAGTCGGGATTGGTGGCAACTTGCAACCCAGGATTGTACGTTTATTCTTCTTCTTCTTCTTTTTCTTCTTCAGGGCCGTACCTGAGAATTTGGGGGCCCTGGGCAAAATCTGAGTCTAGGTCCTAGTCATTAAGAAGACTAGTATTAAAATCTGAATCTTCTTTTGTGAAACGAAGTTTGGGTTAGGAAAAATGATCACCGTAACAGGTACAACACCCTGGTCAGGAGGCTGGAGAAACCAAACCAAACTTCAATGGCCAGGTTCATAAGATAGAAGCGAATTTAATGGTGAGCATTCCGTGTTGTATGATCTCCCTTCATGAGGAATTGCACTAGCTCAAACTACTACCGCTTCCATCTCCTTGATACCTACAGACCCCAATAGCTGGGAACATCAGTTTTTTTTTTTTGAGGAATAGCTGGGAACGGCAAAATTTCGTGTTTTGACCCTTTTTCGAAACCTATTCGAGATCTGACCCTAAATTGAAAAAAATTCGAGATCTGACCCTTTTGCTACCGCCAGAGTCCATGGCGGTAGGGTCTAACAGTCTACCGCCAGGAACTTTGGCGGTAGGAAACATCCCTATCGCCAAACGGGCTGGCGGTAGCCTGCACAACCCTACCGCCAAAGTGCTTGGCGGTAGGCACGAGCACGTACTGTGTTTAATACTTAGGCGGGTTTTGGCGATAGGGCATGCAACCCTACTGTCAGGGTGCTTGGAGGTAGGCTGTTATACCCTACCGCCATGGTCCCTGGCGGTAGGGTCAGATCTTGATTTTTTTTTCAAACTAGGGTCAGATCTCGAATAGGTTTTAGAAAAAGGTCAAAACACGAAATTTAGCCGCTGAGAACCATGCTAAGCTTTTAAACTGCCATCCTCTGAATAAAAAATTCAATAAACTAAAACGTACACAAAAATTTATACAGTTTTGCTAAAGCACATTTAGATATGCCATAAGTATTGCACGTCTAAGTCCTATATCATTGATCTTACGTTGAGATTCGTGTGGATATTTTCTTTTGCTTTTTTTCTCTTTATGCTTAATTCACTCACTTAGATGTGCAATAAGTAGGGCACATCTAGATGTGGCCTAGACATTCCCAAATTTATAAATGCCATGCTCTGAAAATGTGAAAATTGTCATGCTGCTTTATAAAACTGCCATCCTCTAGATAAAAAAAGTCTTATCTAAATAAGCCCACAATAAAGACTACCATGCCATTAAAAATGCCATCCTCCAAACATTAAAAATGACATCCTATAGTAAAAATGTCATTCTATTGATAAAAATGCCATGTGCTTCATAATAAAACTACCATGCCATTAAAAAACGCAATCCTCTCAATGATAAATTGTCATCCAGTTATTAGTAAATATACACATTATTAATTATATGATGGAATGTACAAAAATAAACTTGAGGTGTGAAAATTATTAAAAAATGACAACCTTTTAATAAGACAAATGCCATCCTTTTAATAATAAAAGTGATGTTGAACGAAGTATGTTGCTGTTGATATTTTGGAGAAACTGGTATGTCCGTAATGAGATAGTCCATCATAAACCAGCCCCGCTAATGGAGGTCTCCATCAGATTTCTGCAGAATTATTTGGATGCTTTGATTGGCATCAAGCTGAATAAAGACATGGATCCGGCCAAAGGTAAAACTGTCATTTCGTATGACCGGTTGCATGTTTCTTCCAGACCGACAGTATCGGCCAGTGCTAGTCTAGTTTGGAGACCGCCTGATCAAGGATGGAGTAAACTGAATGCTGACGGTTCATACGTGTCGAGCGAAACCGCAGGCGCCGGAATGATACTACGCAATAACAGGGGAACAATCATATTTTCTGCCTGTAGGCCGTTATTCTCTTGCAGAGACGCATTAGAGGCGGAGCTGGGCGCATGTATGGAAGGCTTATCACTTGCGATTCAGCGGACTGATTCACCGATCGTCGTCGAGATGGACTCGAGCTTGGCTATGTCCATGATTTTATGCAACGAGGTGGATCGTTCAGTGTACGCTTCGTTGGTTAACAAGATTAGATTCTTAATGCGCCTTAGACAAACTTGCATTACTCATATCTCCCGTTCTCAGAATAAAGCTAGTGATAGTTTAGCGAGGTTTGCTAGAGATGAAGGTCGGACTATGACTTGGCTAGGGTCCGATCCTGTGGAGACTTTGGAGATTGTCCATGATGATCGTAAAGACCTCGTGATTGAGTAATACAAGTTTGTTTCTCCCGCAAAAAAAGAACTGCCATGTACAAAAGCAAACTTGACTTGTGGGACATTAGGAAAAAAATGTTTAAATTTGCCATGTGACATAGTTCAAAAAATTATACTTCCTCCGTTTTAAATTACTCGTCGAAGAAATGAATGTATCTAGAACTAAAATACATCTAGATACATTCATACCTGCGACAAGTAATTCGGAACGAAGGGAGTAATAAACTGCCCTGTTAATTCTTTTAGAAAATTTGCCATGTGCCTAAGCAGAAAGGAACATATCTTGCCATCTTGCAAAAAGAGAAGAAAAAAAAGGAGGGACCAGAATTCGAACTATGGCCTCCTGTCCCTGCGCCAGTGTGGTGTGCGGGTAGTGTTTTGACTAGTAAAGCATTCGCTTGGTTTTGTACTCGCAGCGAACAAGTTAATAAATCTGACGTGTCTCCTGTCCCCGCGCCAAGATTCCTGCAACGAATTCGACTAGAGAGAGCGTGTTCGCAAGTATTGCCCCCTGGCGAACGTTCGCAAGGACCGCTCGTTTATTCCACACCTTTGGAAAGAAGAACCCGGGTGACCACCCAGAAGAAATGGCAAGAAAAGGAGCCGTTTTGGGGTGTCTCCTCAAGGCTAGGCCCCGGCTAGCTCGATTTAGCTCCGCCATGCAAGCCGCGAAAAACGCAGAGCTGCACGCAAACCTTTCCTTAATTCCTCACCGCAGTCGTCGTCCAACTCGATTAATTTCCCTCTCGACCGATCGTGCGCACGATCGACTACAATCCTCGTACCTCTTCTGAGAAATCAAGTACATTGCTCAACGTCGAGGCGCACCCATGGCGGCGACCGTGCGCACATGGCTGGTGGTGGCGGCGCTGGCGTGCGCGCTGACGCTGGCGCTGCGCTCGGCGGACGCGCAGGAGAGCGAGGCGCAGTCGCAGCCGACGTCGTCGTCGTCGCCGGCCCAGAAGCCCAACTGCGCTCCGGGCGCCGCCACGCCGTGCCGCGTGGGCGCGCTGCGCGACCCGGAGAACCAGGAGGAGGAGGGGCTGTTCAATGTGAAGGTGAGGGCGCCGACCGCCGCGGGTGACTCCGGCGACAGCGACGACGACTACAGCGACCCCGACAAGCCCAAAGACCCCGACCAGTCCGACGACGACGAGCTTGTCGTTCTCGGCCACTGATCTGATCGCCCGGCCGGTCCGGCATGATCGATCACGTGCACGTGGCGCCGCATGGTTTTTTGGTTTTGTTTGTTGGACTGGCCGGTGGCGGGTCGACCGGTGCTCCTTGGACTTGCATTTTGTTGTTTAATTCTTCAGCTAATTTGTTGTTAAGTAAGTATAAGTAGGTAGTGAGTGGATTGGCAAATATGTTCTGTAATCTAATAACTGGATTTGATAAAGTGTGATCCATGCTGGAATTTAGTCTATTTTGGACAGTCCAATAACTATTTCAACAATTCCTAATAAATTCTAGAGGCCCACTCAGTCCATTTGTGCAAGGCAAGGGATACTACTAAAGTTTAGTCCCACATTGCTAGTTTAGTGAGAGTTGGACCTCTTTATAAGGGGGGTTCTTTCCCACTTGTACGAGCATGAGAATTAGAGGGATATTCACGCGCGCTCCTCCTTCGCCGCCCGCCTCGGCGCGACGCGCCGCGCCGCGGGTTGCGGGGATGAGCCGAGCTGATATCTAATTTTTGTCACGCACTACGGGTATACGAAAGGTCACACAGAAGCTGATTTTTTTTGTGAAAGTGGAGTTTGAATGCGAACGGTGCAGCCCTTCGGCTGCCGGCTGTTCGCTTCGCCTCTGTCTCTTCGTTTCGCCTCCCGTCACTGCCCTCTCGCCTCCTTCTCTTGCGCCTATAAAAGGGAGGTCGCTCCTCCCAGAGAGACGCACCAGAACTTCTCCTTCCTCCCGCCACCGGTTCCATTCTCTGAGCTACTGCTGTCTTCCTCATCCCGGCTTGCGGCGTGCACCACGAGTCGGGACAGTAGGTCTCCGAAATTGCACCTCTTTGAGTCCTGTACAGGAGAAGGGTGATAAGGTCTTTGGGGAGCGCTCCGCGCGACTACTAACTTCTTCATCACGGACTCCGACGACTACTTCCCCGACGACGACTTCTTCCCCGACGTCGACAACCTCATCGACGACATGGCTGGAGAGGACGTCGACCCCAAGTCCAGTGCTTCTGCTGCTGCTGTCCCGTACATATTTATGCTCTTTCTGTTAGACGTCCTGTCACAGTTCTTTGCTCTAGTTTCTGCCCTACATGTGTTAGGTTCTACTTCATATATGCAACTTGCTACACTGTCTGCTCTAGATGTGTTTAGTTACAGTTCATATGTGAAGTTGTTGTTTACCTTTTATTTGTCAAATCGCATGACTTGCTTTATCACTGCTATACTAGTCGTGCTCTATCTAGTATAATAAAATCATTTGGTAAATTGCTCATATTTCCAACAATCCAAAAACCTTATTATAGGCAATTTACACCAAGTGGTTTTGTTGCTTCCATGAGACCTCCTATGTTTGAGGGTATCCACTATAAGAGGTGATGCGTGAGAGCAGTCTTATGGTATCAAACCATGAGTTGCTATGATGCCACTCTTGGCAAACCTGAAGGGGAGCTTGATGCTCAACAGGCACAAGCCTTTCAGAAAATGGATACTCTGTTTAAGGCTGCTCTCTTGAGTGTTCTTGGTGAGAACATAGTTGATGCTTATGCGTCAATTGATAATGAAAAAGATATGTGGGATGCACTTGAGGCCAAGTTTGGGGTCTCGGATGCTGGCACTGAGCTGCACATCATGGAGCAATTCTATGATTACAGGATGACTGAAGAGCGCTCCGTGGTTGAGCAAGCTCATGAGATACAGTCATTTGCTAGAGAACTTGAGCACTTCAGTTGTATGCTACCAGACAAATTTGTTGCCGGAGGTATCATCACGAAGCTTCCTCCTTCGTGGAGGAACTTTGCTACCTTACTGAAGCATAAGAGGCATGAGTTTTCCGTTCCGGATCTCATTGGCACTCTTGATGTGGAAGAAAAGGCGAGAGCAAAGGACACACGTGCTCGAGGTATTGAGGGAGGATCTAGTGCCAATGTGGTACAGAAGCAGAACTTCCAGCCCCACAAGTTCAAGAACAAGGGCAAGTTTGATGGTAAAGCAAAGTTTGATGGGAAGAACAAGGTTGTGCAACACACGAACTTCAAGAAGAAGAATGGCAAGAAGAAAGGTGCTTGTCATGTGTGTGGGGATCCTGATCATTGGGCTCCTAGTTGCCATAATCGCTTTGACAAGCGTCATCCTGGAAAAGGCGGCAAGACCGCTAATGTTGTCATTGGAGACACTGACATGAAGGATGCTGGGTATGGTATATTTGTTGGAAATATGCCCTAGAGGCAATAATAAAAGTATTATTATTATATTTCCTTGTTCATGATAATTGTCTTTTATTCATGCTATAACTGTATTATCCGGAAATCGTAATACACGTGTGAATACATAGACCACAATATGTCCCTAGTGAGCCTCTAGTTGACTAGCTCGTTGTGATCAACAGATAGTCATGGTTTCCTGGCTATGGACATTGGATGTCGTTGTTAACGGGATCACATCATTAGGAGAATGATGTGATGGACAAGACCCAATCCTAAGCATAGCACAAAGATCGTGTAGTTCGTTTGCTACAGCTTTGCCAATGTCAAGTATCTCTTCCTTTGACCATGAGAGCGTGTAACTCCTGGATACCGTAGGAGTGCTTTGGGTGTATCAAACGTCACAACGTAACTGGGTGACTATAAAGGTGCACTACAGGTATCTCCGAAAGTATCTATTGTTTTATGCGGATCGAGACTGGGATTTGTCACTCCGTGTAAACGGAGAGGTATCTCTGGGCCCACTCGGTAGGACATCATCATAATGTGCACAATGTGACCAAGGGGTTGATCACGGGATGATGTGTTACGGAACGAGTAAAGAGACTTGCCGGTAACGAGATTGAACAAGGTATCGGTATACCGACGATCGAATCTCGGGCAAGTAAAATACCGCTAGACAAAGGGAATTGTATACGGGATCGATTGAGTCCTTGACATCGTGGTTCATCCGATGAGATCATCGTGGAACATGTGGGAGCCAACATGGGTATCCAGATCCTGCTGTTGGTTATTGACCGGAGAACGTCTCGGTCATGTCTGCATGTCTCCCGAACCCGTAGGGTCTACACACTTAAGGTTCGATGACGCTAGGGTTATAAAGGAAGCTTGTATGTGGTAACCGAATGTTGTTCGGAGTCCCGGATGAGATCCCGGACGTCACGAGGAGTTCCGGAATGGTCCGGAGGTAAAGATTTATATATAGGAAGTCCTGTTTCGGCCATCGGGACAAGTTTCGGGGTCATCGGTATTGTACCGGGACCACCGGAAGGGTCCCGGGGGCCCACCAGGTGGGGCCACCTGCCCCGGGGGGCCACATGGGCTGTAGGGGGTGCGCCTTGGCCTACATGGGCCAAGGGCACCAGCCCCAAGAGGCCCATGCGCCTAGGGAACCCTAGAGGGAAGAGTCCTCAAGGGGGAAGGCACCTCCGAGGTGCCTTGGGGAGGATGGACTCCTCCCCCCCTCTTGGCCGCACCCCTTTCTTGGAGGAAGGGGCAAGGCTGCGCCTCCCCCCTCTCCCTTGCCCCTATATATAGTGGAGGGGAGGGAGGGCATTCATACCTGAGCCCTTGGCGCCTCCCTCCCTCCCGTGACACCTCCTCCTCTCCCGTAGGTGCTTGGCGAAGCCCTGCAGGATTGCCACGCTCCTCCATCACCACCACGCCGTTGTGCTGCTGCTGGATGGAGTCTTCCTCAACCTCTCCCTCTCTCCTTGCTGGATCAAGGCGTGGGAGACATCGTCGAGCTGTACGTGTGTTGAACGCGGAGGTGCCGTCCGTTCGGCACTAGGATCATCGGTGATCTGAATCACGATGAGTACGACTCCATCAACCCCGTTCACTTGAACGCTTCCGCTTAGCGATCTACAAGGGTATGTAGATGCACTCTCCTTATACTCGTAGCTGGTTTCTCCATAGATAGATCTTGGTGACGCGTAGGAAAATTTTGAATTTCTGCTACGTTCCCCAACAGTGGCATCATGAGCTAGGTCTATTGCGTAGATTCTTTGCACGAGTAGAACACAAAGTAGTTGTGGGCGTTGATGTTGTTCAATATGCTTACCGTTACTAGTCCAATCTTGTTTCGACGCTATTGTGGGATGAAGCGGCCCGGACCGACCTTACACGTACTCTTACGTGAGACAGGTTCCACCGATTGACATGCACTTGGTGCATAAGGTGGCTAGCGGGTGCCAGTCTCTCCCACTTTAGTCGGAACGGATTCGATGAAAAGGGTCCTTATGAAGGGTAAATAGCAATTGGCATATCACGTTGTGGTCTTGCGTAGGTAAGAAATGTTCTTGCTAGAAACCCATAGCAGCCACGTAAAACATGCAACAACAATTAGAGGACGTCTAACTTGTTTTTGCAGGGTATGCTATGTGATGTGATATGGCCAAAAGGATGTGATGAATGATATATATGTGATGTATGAGATTGATCATGTTCTTGTAATAGGATTCACGACTTGCATGTCGATGAGTATGACAACCGGCAGGAGCCATAGGAGTTGTCTTAATTTATTGTATGACCTGCGTGTCATTGAAGAATGCCATGTAAACTACTTTACTTTATTGCTAAACGCGTTAGTCATAGAAGTAGAAGTAGTCGTTGGCGTGACAACTTCATGAAGACACGATGATGGAGATCATGATGATGGAGATCATGGTGTCATGCCGGTGACAAGATGATCATGGAGCCCCGAAGATGAAGATCAAAGGAGCTATATGATATTGGCCATATCATGTCACTACTTTATTTGATTGCATGTGATGTTTATCATGTTTATGCATCTTGTTTGCTTAGAACGACGGTAGTAAATAAGATGATCCCTTACAAAATTTCAAGAAGTGTTCTCCCCTAACTGTGCACCGTTGCTACAGTTCGTCGCTTCTAAGCACCACGTGATGATCGGGTGTGATGGATTCTTACGTTCACATACAACGGGTGTAAGACAGTTTTACACAGCGAAAACACTTAGGGTTAACTTGACGAGCCTAGCATGTGCAGACATGG